CTAAATGTTCATCAAAAAACTTTAGTGAAAAAAATCGAAAAAACGAACTACAAACATATTAACGCCAGACATTCGGTAGAATTTATAGAATATTGTAAATATATATATATATATATATATATATATATATATATATATATATATATATATATATATATATGTTTTGTTGGTTGATTGATTGGTTGGTTGATTAATAGATTGAGTGGTTGGTATGGATTGATTGACTGACTTGCTTCTGACTAATTGTTTGTATGTATGTATGTTTGTATGTATGTATGTATATATATATATATATATATATATATTGTTTGAGAAAATATTGCAAAGAAATACATTTTCAAAGTTTATCAACAAACTCCTGCATGTTTTGCTTGAATATTTCACGGGTTTACAAATTATATTTGAATATTCAACGACTGCTAAATGTTTGGTTTGTAATGTTAAGGTTCCACTAAAGGACATACTGCGTTGTAAATTCTGCATTTCTATAGTGCACTGGAAGTGTGCAGGAGTGTCTGAGTCAACATTTAAAGAATTTCAGAATGTTACCAATTTTCTGTGGAGTTGTGATAATTGCTTGGAAAAGGTTAAATCTTCGAAAAAGTTAAATGACATAGCTGATGACATTAAAAAAATTCGTGATACAACTTAATGAGTGGTCAAATAAATGATATCTTGGACAAAGTCAATGGAAGGGCAAATGATGATGATCTTTCTTGCATGATGAATGTGCTTCAAGAAAGCCTTAAAATGTCATATGCTGATACCATGAAAAATGTGGTTGTCAAAGATGTGGTGAAAATAAATGAAGATGTAACGAGCTTAAATGATGGCATACAAGCCTTGAAGAAAGAAGTTATTAAAACTAAAGAGAAATAGAGGAAAGATCTTGTAACCTCATAATTTTCAAATTGAAAAAAAATTATCAGCAAAATTTCAGTGATAGCAAAAGCGATGATGAGGATAAAATTGCGCGCATCATTGGTACGATAGTGAATGACAAGGTGCATCGATCATGCATAGTTAAACATTATAGATTGGGTAAGAAACCAGATAAAGTCAGACCATTGTTGGTCAAATTAAAATCTAATGTCCTAAAAAATTCAGTTATGGAGAACTTGTCCAACCTGAAAAAACTTGATGAAGACTTGAAAGGAATAAACATTGGTTATGACATGACTAAGGAACAGCGGATGAAATGCAAGGAATTGATAGGGATTGCAAAGGAGAGGGAGGCAGCTGAAAAGCTGGATTTTATTTACAGAGTGAGAGGAGAACCTGGAAGCATGGAAATAATAAAAATAAAAAAAAATAGAGCATTGACTTCTCTATACTGTGACATAAGATATATGTTGAATAATGTTGAGGATATAAGGTACCTGATAAACTTTGTGTTGAAGATGGCTAATGACGTTTTTGGTGTTGATGCAGTCACCGGCGGCAATGGCAGTGATGTTGGTGTTACAAGTGATGGTAACGTGATGGTAACGGTTATACAAGTGGTGGTGAAGATGGTTGTGGTGTTACTGATAATGGTGGTGGTGGCTGTGGTGGTGACGTTAATGATTGTGGTATTTGCGGTGGTGGAGATGGTTGTAGTGGTAACGATAAAGGTGGTGGTAATGATCGTGAAGTTACCAAAAAAGACACAGAACTAAAATTACAATTACGTTTGTTGAACATTAGGTCAATTATGAATAAGATCAACACTGTTCGCTATTTATTCTCTAATAATTTTGATATTTTTGTTGTTACGGAATCCTGGCATGGGTCTTCCGAAAATTTATCACTTAGACTTACTTTGCCACCTGATTTTGTGTTCATAGATATTTTGAGGCCGGCCGACTCTCACCATGGTTGAATTGCGTTTTTTAAAAATTATTTTAAATTTTATAGAATTCCACTGTCTTTATTTAAGACGTTTGAAGCTATAGTTGTAAAATTTTATTTCAACAAAGTGACTATTGTCGTTTCCGCTGTTTATTGTCTTGGGTCTTCTATTCCATCACCATTGTTTTTTGATGAGTTGTCATCTGTCTTTGACGAAATATTGCTTTAAGCAAATTATGTTATTTTTGTGAATATTCATGTTGAACGTTTAAACGACCCTAATGCATTGAAATTATTTGAAATTTGTGATTTATATAAATTGATAAATAGAATAAATGAACCAACCCACGTTCATGGTGGAATATAGAATTTAATTGCTACTAGTTCTGACCTTCCCTCACAATTTTTTTCTGTTGAGCCACCAAATGTGTATTCAGACCACAGTTTAGTTAAAATTTGTTTCCCTATTTCAGTTACCACACCTCAAAATAAATGGGAACTTATTCGTTCATGGGATCAAATCGACGAAAATCAATTTTGTTCACTAGTTCTTGATTCATCTATTTCAGGGCCGTTCAATTCATCTTCCGCTGATACCCTGTTAGATTTGTTTAATTCTGAAATTGTGATGATTGTGGATATCGTTGCTCCTTGTCGTTATGTCAAATCTACTCATGTGTCATCCGCCCCTTGGTTTGACTCTGAATGTCGTTTATTAAAACGCAATTGTCGAAAACTAGAACGATTGTATAGGAAATTGAAGAATGATTTTAATCAAAATGCATGGCGCTTAGCGTTAAAAGAAACAAGTATCGAAACCCGTTTTCAAAAGATGTGGAACGCCCCATTTATCAGCAGGTCAGTTGCTAAGCTGCTGGGTTTGAGCCAACCAGGCTAGACGACTCTCGTGTTCGTGTCAATTTGGGATTGAGACTCGGTTTACCCATTTCAACCTCTCCTGTCGATTGGGCCCGGGTAGACAGGCTCAACATTCAGCTATGAACGATTTTTTGGTAGGGTGCTTTCAGAAGGCAAACAGACCCACAATTAAAGAACCAACAGGTCTTATGGAGGAAGATAGCCTTGGATCCGACGGGTATACTATTTCACCATGGGCACAGGGACGTTCCCTTGCTTGTGATGTTACGTTCCCCCATACCATGACTGAAAGGTACGTTAATCTTACCTCACAGGAGGCGGGTGCCGCTGCCTTAAAAGCCGTAGACTTTAAAAATTCAAAATATGAGGCTCTTACAGATAGCAAAATTTTTCAGCCAGTCTGTATTGAGGCCTTTGGTCTAACCGATTTTCAGACTTAGAGTTTTTTGATTGAACTCTGCAGCAGGATTGTAGGAGTATCTGGTGACCCTTTAGAAAAGAGATAACCCTTTTGATTGATTGATTAAATAATAAGAGGTATAAAGATTTTTTAAACTAATTAATAATGTCAACAATATTCGTGTAACATATTTATATCATTCACTACATTAAGTACATCAATACGCGCATATAATTGGATGCAGTTGTTGATGTCGTAGCGATGTATCATACTCATAATATAATATATGTATATTTGATAATGTAATTTAATTTTAAAGGAAACACACACATACATTATATGTCTAACTCTAAATCTCTTTCTCTTCCATTTAACTATTATTATTTAGAATATATGGCATATTGATACAAATTTTTACGAAATTCGAACGCCATTTTTTTAAATGCAACACAACCCTGTCTTTTGTCAAGAAAAATATAATGTCTTTGAAACTAGTATTCTTTTTTCAAAGTTTCGAATTTTTTCTATTATGAAAAAAATCATTATTATCATTAGTAGTAGTGTTGTTGTTGTTATTGTTCTATCTATTCTTAATATCGTCATTGTTGTACCTTTATTATTGTTGGATCTTTACGATTAGTGATAACCTTGCTGCCATTGCGTTCTCATTACATTATTATCACTTTATCGTTGCATCACATGGTTTTGTTTGTTGGTGCTGTTTATATTATTATTATTTTTATTATTATTATTATTATTATTATTATTAGTAGTAGTAGTAGTAGTAGTAGTAGTAGTAGTAGTAGTAGTAGTAGTAGTAGTAGTAGTAGTAGTAGTAGTAGTAGAAGTAGTAGTAGAAGTAGTAGTAGCAGTAGAAGTAGTAGTAGCAGTAGTAGAAGTAGTAGTAGTAGTAGTAGTAGTAGTAGTAGTAGTAGTAGTAGTAGTAGTAGTAGTGTTTTTGTTGTTTTGTTGTTCTCATTACAAAATTGGCTGAGATAATGTGAGAATTGATTAATCAATAATAACAATTAATAATAATAACATGAACAATAATAATAATATCGGCGTTGTTATTTGTTAAGCTAGCCTTCCTGGCATACAGCTTGATTTCGTTCTTTAATCAGTAACATTGGGCCCAAAAATTATATGAAGCTAAAATATGTAAAAAAAATGAAGAAAAGAAAAAACAAACAGCAGATTGCGAGAAAACAATTACACAGACGGAGACAGACAAAAAGACAGACATCTAGACAAAGGGAAATATGAAGAAACGAAGGCGTAATAAGCACACATCATTAGCAAATTATAATTTCGCATCCAACGCATGTCTGTTCAACGAACCACAAAAAGTTTGTTGTGGCCAATGAGCTTGTTGTAAAAAGACATTTTTGGATCAGAAGAAATAAATATAAAGAAAAATAATCATCCAACCAAGCAACTACAACCAGTTCAAAGTGATGATAGTAAAGTAAATAAAAAATTAATCAGTTAATCAAATCTTCAGAGTTTTCTATCAATAAACCAACCAATCAAGCACTCACTCAGCCAGCACTGAACTAACCCCACTAGCAATGTAGACAGGCAGGAAGACCCAGCCCAACAACTGAAGCAGAAAACATGACTGCATACATGTCGTTGTGTGTTTGTGTGTTGTTGTAGTTGTGTTTGTGTGTTTGTTTCAATATTTTATATTTTATAATGTGCATATTTTTGTTATTCATTTTCATTGCTGTTTAACATTCACTACCTTATCAACCAATCAATCAGTTAAGTGACTAATGATAACCAAATGAAATTAAGTAATTAAACAGCCAGTCAACCAACCAACCAAACAACCAACTAGCCAACCAACAAACAAACCATTAAACAAACCAACCAACCAACAAACCCACAAACCAATCAACCATCCAACCAACATTTAGTTCGAAGGCACCAACAGCAATCCCACTGGCAGCTCCCGAACCAGCCAACCCAATGAAGTGCTCACTGCCTATGTTGCTCGCAAATATCGAGGCTCCTACCTGTTGTATATGTGTCACATCGTTATTCACATTTTTAGGTGGGATTAGAATTAGTACAAGGAAATCAAATGTATAATAAAAATATGTTAATGTTTATTATTAATATTTTTTGATCATCTTTTTCATCATCAGCATTGCCTTCATCATTTTCATCATCATTATCGCCATCATCAGCATCATCATTTTCATCATTTGCACAAATAAATACTATACAGAATCAAATGTATAATTAATTTCAATCCAAACGAGCTAATTTCCGAGAAGCAGAAACAGGGATTTCTTAGTGGTGAGCAATTTATTGGGCTTATTCAATTTTTTACTCTCTCTCTCTCTCTCACCCTCTATCTCTTTTTTTTTTTTCTCTCTCTCTCTCTCTCTCTCTCTCTGATCCCAAATCAAATATAAACACCTAGCTAAATAGCAGTAATGTTACCAATCAAACAAAAAAATTAAGATTTTTAATAAACAAACAACTGAATAACCACAAGACAATTAAAACAGATTGTAAACGAAATTAATTAATTAATTAATAAATTGATAAAATGAAAATTTATCAAAATAAATTACGATAAATTTAAAACATCTGACTAAGCAACAATAACGACAGTAAAAAGTAACAAAAATAAACAAATAAATTTTTATCCACAATCCATTCATCCAACCATCCATCCATCCATTCATCCAACCATCCATTTACCCGTCCATCTATCCACCCATCCATCCATCAGTCAGTGGTGGTGGTTATTACATTTTCTGCCTCGCACAAGTTTCAACCGTGATCACACACACGCATGCAAACACACACGCATGCAAACACACACGCACACAAACACACACAAAGAATGAAAAGTACATGAATCATAACTTTATAAATACATTTATAAGCGGGGATCTCACTCCCGACCCTCACAACAAAAATGCAAATGGAATGATTGCTAACAGAGAACCAGGTCATGTAGCGTCCTGCCAGAAAGTATCCATTCACTGTGTTCCTCTTGTTCTTGCACATTGCCTGTGTTTGTGTATGTGTGTATGTTTGTGTGTACGTACGTTATGCGTGTGTATGCATGTATGTGTGCGTGTATGCTGCGTGCGTGAGTGTGTTTATACAATTGTGTGTGAGATGTGTGGTTGTGCATTTTTGGGATGCACAACTTTAACCAAATTTTTTGTGAATGTATGGAATGGTAAGCGCTCGTTGATTTATATCATCATTTATAAACAGTGGCATGTAAATGACTATCAATCACTTCATGTGTATGTTTGTGTGTATGTATGTATGTGTATATATTTGTGTGTGTATGTGTGTCTATATTTATGTGCATGTAGGAACATTTGATCAAAACAGAGCAGTTTGATAATTAAATTATATTTTATATGTAGTATATTATCTTCAGGATCTAAGAAGAATTCATTGAAAAAAAAATCTGCTTTCAATTTAATTAATTTCATTAAAACCATCCACCTCCACCTTGATGAATGTTTGCTCATTTAATAAATTAATAAATAAATTAAATAATTAATTAATTAATTAGTGGCATGTAAATATACAATAAATTGATGTGTGAAGAGTGAATGCTTTGAAGTTAATATTGATAGATTGTCTTCATTCATTTAGTATAGAAACAAGATTTTGTCAGTAAATAAAAAGTCTTTTATGTTCTTAATAAATAATAGAATTAATAAATTAATAATTTTATTAGATACTCTATTCATTGGCTTATTTTTTGGCTTTTAGTGGCTTGCTAAGTGATACAATTCTTTTTACATTTGCAATAGCAATAATAATAATAATACATTTGGGATTCATATACTTATAATATAATAATTATAATTGACTATAATATAATTACATGCCACAAATAATTTCAAAAAATTTGAAATGAAAAAAGTACAAAAAGTCGTTATATTATAAAAATAAACATGATTATAATTAGTAGTTCAATTCAATTCCCTGCAGCCAGCTAAATATGTATTGTAATTGCATGAAGTTCTGTTAAACTGTTAAAAAATCAAATTAATCTAATAAATATAATAATTAATCATTAAATATATTAAATATAAATTAAGAAAAAAATTAATTAATTAATTAAGAAATTAATTAAGAAATGGAAGCTCATGAGGCTACTTTTACTTTCAACTTGACACTGACACAAAAACATCCTCACTTATTTAAATGAATAAAAAACCTCGAAGAACTGATCTAAGAGGACAAAACAAATTTCAATAAATAAAAAAAAATCAACAAGAAATTAATTAAGAAATTAAAATAGGATACGAACATAAATGCCGATTGCCAGGACGGCTGCAAAGTAAAGTGCAATGACGGTAAAATCAGCATTGTTCAATTTCCGTTGCAACATTTTGATTCAAGGTTTGATTTTTCATTTAAATTTTAAATTCTATCTCTTCCAAAACAATTCAGCATTCAGTAACCACGAGAGCAGGCGATTTGACGTTGGAGTGGCGGCACGTGCCGATGCTTTTTATAGCCCAACACACATCCACAAGTCAGTGAGGAACACGTACCAGGAATTATGCAACACCTTCATGAACATACAAACAAACACATACATAACATTAAGATACCGCATACAATACACTATGTATTAACAAGTATGCAAACGGTATATACTTTGTATATATATAGTATATATATAAATAAATATTTATTTGTACATACATTTATATTTATATATATATATATGTGGATATATAACCTGGTTTCAATATTGACACGTGCAAACAACAAACGGCTCTTGGTAATTTTCCATTTCTATTATTAAGCATTAGTAATGTTTTGGAATTTAGTTGCATGTTAGACATTTTCCTTTTTGTAGAAAAAAATTTAAACAAAGTAATTATACGTCTTTTTGTAAATACTTGTATGGCGTTTGAGTGATTTGTTTTAAAATTGTAATTGTTTTATATTATTTTAAGCTAATAATGATAACATCGTTTTGATCTCTTCAACATTTTGATATCAAATAGCAAACACCAAACTAATCTCAAAATCAAAAATAACTTCTCACATCCTCCGTCCTAGTTATCGATTTTTATTATAGGTACGTTCCGTGTGGTGGCCAATTCGGCCGGACGGAGTTCAACAACCCTAACAATCTTCATTATTTAATAAACCACGCAATCAATCAATTAATCAATCTATTTAAATTTAGTCTATCTATCAGTGGTTAAACCGTTAAAGTTAAACCAATCAGTTAATCATTCAATCATAATCCTATGAAATTATCACTTTAGCACATTTATTCACTCCATCCATCGAGTCACGTGAGCAGAAATTTTCCATTAAAAACTGCGCATGTTGAAATATCACAAAAAAAAGTGCGGATGTCCACATATATGCGATATGATATGACTTTACATACCTTTTGTTGAGATTGTAACGACCGTTCGTTACCTCTGAACAGCAATTGTGGCTGTCGACTTTTCGTTAAGCAATCACTGAAAATAAAAACGATCGCTGCGTCACAGCTTAACCTCCGAAATTCCAAATACATGGACCCAACAACACAACTCCCAATCGACAGTTCATTTTCACTTCCAGCTATAAAATTCACTTCGCCAGAATTTTTCTATCTTTAATCAATCAATCAATTAGTTTATAAAGCGCTATTTCCGCGATGTTCAACAGGATTCTTAAAAGAATTTCGTAAACAGATGGGTCTTGAGATCCGCTCTGAACTTCATAGGTGATAGAGAAGTAGTCAGAGAAGTAGAAAGTTCCAGAGAACATGAAGAGTAGGATCGAAAACTTGTAATGTTGATTGATTATATTATAATATAAATATGTTTTTATATTAAACCAAGTGTTATTAAATTAGCGAAACATTAAAATATAACTAAACGTATTATGGATGGGATGAAAGATGTCAAGAGCCAAAAGTTTAAAAACAGATACAAGAGGAGAAACCATATTTAACACACTGGAAAAGTTTTGTTATAAAAAAAATATTCCTTTTGACAATATTGTGTCAGTTGCCAGAGTTTGCGCCCTATTTATAATAGGACGCTACAAAGGTTTCATGGCATACTTGAAAAAGAGTTCCAGAGGTGATTGCAGTGCATTGCGTTATTCATCGACGACATTTAGTCCCAAAAAATTTAAGGAATGATTGTTTCCATCACTAAAATATGTCATCAAAGTAGTCAATAAAATCCGAAACAACTCTTTGAACCACAGACTATTTAACCAGCTACGCGCTGCTAATGACGAAGATTTCAACAGTTTGCTGCCTGAATCGGTTTTATAATTTATTAGATTCTGCAATAGATTTTTTAGAAAAAAAAGATAAAATATTGCCCAAAAACCCAAATGCATCAAAGAGTGATATTGCGTTCCTGACAGACAAATACAAATTGTTTAATGATGTTAATCTCCGACTTCAAGGTGATGACTTGGCCTTGATAAAAACAAAATAATGTTATTGCTGCATTTGTAGCTAAACTACTTTTTCACAAGAACCATATTGGCATCCGTGAGTTCCACCAGTTTCCTAATTTATTAGCAGCACCCTTTATCATCGATGGCTTGCTCGTCTATTGCCAACATTCGGAAAATTTTTACAACGATTTAAAAAAAAATGGCGGGACATTTTAACGTAGGAAATACCGACCTGGATGTTGGATTCGTTTTTAAACGTTCCAGCTAAATCTAGAAAAAGAGCTCATTGAATTGACAACAATCAGGAAATTAAATTCAAATTAAAAAATGGTTATCAAGAATTTTGGCTACAAAAGCAAATCCCTTTGTTGTACTCTGGATTGTGGTCAGTTGTTCAACAATTTTTACTTGTATTTTTATACCCGTATTTGTTCGAACGTGGATTTAGTGCTGTGACAACGCTGTTAACAAAAAAAAGAAATAACTTGGATATTAATAAACGTTGAGATTAATACTGTTTAAATTTGAGCCTGATGTTAAGTCTTTTATAAAAAATCATCAAATTCACCCATCACATTAAATTCATTTATGTCCAGTTGTTCGTTCGTTTCACCTTGGATTTAAAAAATTTCTTTATAAAATTGTATTTGTTATTTTTTCTCAAAATTTATATAATTTTAAAATAAGTGTATGCACGGAGAAATGAGACAAATATATATTGTTATAACTGTCACAAATATATTCGCTAGAGCGGCTAGGGTCACTACGAACGCACACGGTTCGAGAAGGAAATAGAACCTTCCGATATCTCACTGTCGAAACTTGGAAGGTTCTACATGTAGTTCCTCCTCGAACTGTATGCGCTCGTAGCAACACTAGCCCTCTAGCGAATATATTTGTGACGGTTATAACGATATATAAGTTATAATATGTACAATAGGTATAAATATATAATGTATATAAGTAATAAGTTACATCTGCAAAATCCGCTATCAAGTTTTCGGCTTTTGAACAATCTCCCTGTTGCAAATGGAGTTCCCCTAAAAGACCCTCCGTAAGTTTTTCAAGATTATCCTTATCGACTAGCCGACCACTATTTTGATTTCAAATATCCAAAGACTTCACGATATTTACAGATTGACAAAAGCTTATTTTTTGGTCCTTTTAATTGTTATGGAATGTTCTGCCACATTTAACACCCAAACTAAAACAAAGCCATTATCATTTGCTTCTACGAAATACTTTTCAATAACAATGTAATGTTGTCAATTTCCATCGTCGTCGTTGGCTGAACCCGGTAGAATTGGAGGTTCCCAGTATCGCCAATTAGGTTGCCCCTATGATGTTCTCTGCTGATCGTTATACGAATACATTTCACATCGCTGGTGCCCATTACTATCTCTGTATTTCTCCATCTAAAAACTTGTTTTTCTAAATCAATTTAAAAACCATGCTTTGTTAGGAAATCTACGCCTATTATGCATTTGTCAGTGATATCTGCTATTAGAAATGTACCATCGAATGCCAAATCGCCTAGTTGAACAGTGTAATAAATTTCTCCGTAGACGGGCGCTGTTCCTTCTGTAGTTCGAAAAATGTAATTATGAAATTTTTTTTCTTTTAGGTTAAGTACCAGATCGGATCTTAAAATTGACCTCATTGCTCCCGTGTCGATCGTAATTGAACATTCTTGTAAACCAACTATGCCATCCAACCGAAGGTCGTATTGACTTCGATGCAGCCTAGCGACCTTAATCACGGTACTGGGAGCATCAATTCTACCAGCCAACTTCTGACCTGCTTCTGACCAGCCAAAGTTGGCTTTTATTAGTTTCCCGCCTCCTTGATTGAGGCAGTCGGTCGTGACGTGGGTTCACCATCGAACCGTTTGTGCCGTTGCTGTACAATGACGACAATAATTGTTTCCAAGGCGTTGTTTACAATCTCGACTTACATGTCTCTTCTCTCCACAATTCCAGCATTTTGGCGCACCATAATCCTAACTCCTCTGTTGTAGAACAATATTTTAACAAGAGCATTTTTCACAAATATGGCACTCGCTTTGCTGACTCGAATGTAAGACTGTAGTAAAACTGCGCCAAATTTGTGAAGAATGTTATATATAATTAAGAGACAAATATCACTGCATTTTCAGCTTTGCACTCGGCCGGGCTGCAATGCAAGGAATAGATTAAGTCTGGAGGAGCAAGGATGTGAGCATTGCAACGAAAACGAGACTCGTCAACGCCATTGTCTTTCCCATAGCAATTTATGGATGTGAAAGTTGGACAATCAAGAAAGCGGAAAGAAGAAAGGTTGACGCTTTTGAACTTTGGTGTTGGAAAAGACTACTGCGTATCCCCTGGACATCGCGGACAACAAATAAGACGGTCTTAGACCGTATCAAGCCAAAAATGTCGCTTGAGGGCAAAATCGTCAAACAACAACTCTCGTTTTTCGGCCACGTTATGCGCGCAAATTTGCTGGAAATTTCAATGATGCTAGGTAAAGTGAGTGAGACAAGAAGAAAAGGACGGCAAAGAATACGTTGGTTTGATACAAACACATCGGCCACCAAAATGACGATCTCAAAACTTAAAATAATCGTCGAGGACAGGAACGCATGGAGAAGAAATATCCATAAAGTGGCCGAAAGTCGACTTCGACTAAATGGCTAATCATCATCATCATCATCTCAAACTATTACAAACTTTTTGATACCCTCTCCTCTTTGAAGATTAATATCTTTTATTCTTGATTTTATGAAAATCAAAAAAAAAATTTTTAGATGTATCTATACATATATATAGATACAATTATTTATATGTCTAATAATGTCTTTATAAATAATTTTATTTATGATAGTCTAAACCCAATATATATATATATATATATTTGACATTTTTGACATTTGACATATTTTATTTCATCAAATCAAAACAAAGAAATCAAAGAAATGATATCAATGAAAAGAAATAATCTGGAAATCGAAAAGAAAATATGGTTTTCTTGTAATGATTACCAGTGACAATTGTAAATATGAGAGCATATTTTAAATATTTTAGTGCATGTAAACTCACATTCATATTACAAATCCTAAAAAAACCAAAAATGGAATCATAATTATTAAGTAATCAACTCTTTTACATTTTTATCAGAATGTGGTTTGTAATTATTGAAACACAAATATATATATAGACCCACGTAAAACATACTTATTCACACACACACACACACACACACACACACATATATATATATATATATATACGTACACACACACACACGCACACACATATACACAGACGTACACACACACACGTACACGTGTATATATATATATATATATATATATATATATATATATATATATATATGTTTGAATTTGAATTTGAACAGAATTTTATTCGGCATATATATATATATATATATATATATATATATACATATATATATATATATATATATATATATATATATATATATATATATATATATGTAACTGCTCCTGCTCGTTCTTCACTTTCAACTCTTTACAATAACATCAATAAAAACAACTCTAATTCCAGTGGCCACGAAGGCTCTTGGAGCACTGTTACTTTAAAAAAAAGAAAAAATACTCTCCAATTACTGTAAGTTCCAAACAACCTGGGTCCTTCAAGTTATTTGCAGCTCCCTTGCCTCCCAAAAAAATTGTTTTTGGGGTAGGCAAATTGAAAAGCTCCGTCAAAGAAGAGATCCTAGAACATCTGGAAACTATTGGACTGACCGCAGCAGAATGCGTACCAGTCTTTAAATTCTCTCCCACTCGTCCTCAATCTTCAACCAGTGATCCATCAACAAAATTTCACATAACTATTTTTAAACATCAGGAGATGATTTTTACCAATCCTGAAAATTGGCTTATCGGCGTGGAAATTTACCCTTGGTGGTTTCATGCTTTACCACAGCACACGATGAAACCCACTACAACTTCACTACCAAATCATTATCCTGTCGACCGTTCAAGTGTTAATAAACCATCGCTGGTCAACTCACATCGGCATGTAGAAAACACAGTTGAGGTAGCTTCCATTTTAACTTCTTCGGAAGAATCCACTCAGCCAGTCGAGTCAGTCATGATGGGCCCCTCCCAGCTGGTCGAACCACATAAACAACAACAAGCCTCATCGACGATGGGTCCTCCCTCCGATGTCAATTCAATTCTGCGACATCAATAAATCACGACAATGGCTGTTAACAATACTTATTCCACAATCAATTCTATCCAACAACATCCTCAACCATCAAACAACGACGATGACGATCAACCCTTCAACGCATACAACACCCACATCGACCCCACAAAGAACCTTCTAGATTCATTCACCAGACAGTCATCCTACTACACCACAAGAGATCTATTTAACATTCTAGAAGCCAAGTATATCAACAATCATGATCACCCTCTACCTCTACTTCACATAAACAACAGAAGTCTTTTAAATAAAATTTCTGACATTTTAATTTTAAATAAATTTTTATCTTATTTTTTTCCCATTATTATTATATCAGAGACATGGCTGAATGACGAAACCGCTAAACTAATTCGTATGAATGATTACAATTTTGTTTATAAAAATAGGTCTGACAGAATAGGTGGTGGAGTCGGAATCTTCATCAGGTCAGGCATTGAATTTTTTATGATAAACAATTTGCTTCTGAACGATACCATTATTGACCTTCTTAGTGTCAATTTAAAATTAAACAACACACACGTAAATATTTTAGCAGTATATAGACCCCCCAACACTGACCCTAATATTTTAATCCAAAAGCTCGTACTTATTTTACCCACATTTAAGCCACACGTAAAGAGCTACTTAATTGGCGACTTTAACCTTGACCTCAATAAACTCAACAGTGACAACGTCGTTGCTGACTTCTCTAACCTACTATCATCATACAACTTCTTACCTCTTATAACCTCCTCTACTCGCATCTCAACTTTTTCTTGCTCACTCATCGACAATATCTTTACTAACAACCTAACTCCCCACTTATCTGGAATAATACTGTCTGACATATCTAACCATTTCCCTATATTCGCCATCGCTTCCAAATCAGAAAACTCAAACCATGCCCCTATTAAGCACTTCAGAAACCTAACTGAAGAATCTATAAACAACATCAACAATTTTTTATCGAACCACAACTGGAATTCTTTGACTTCTTTAAAAAATGTCAACGACTGCTGCTCTGTTTTGAATACTATCTTAACTCACTCTCTAGACACTTTTGCCCCCCTCCGTCCTGTCAAAAACAAAAAGAAAACATGCTAGATCAATGACAACATTCTAAGCCTTGCGAAAAAGAAAAACAAACTATACATCATAAGCCTTAAATATCCAACCACACGCAACATTGCCACCTACAAAAGCTTCAGAAACATAGTCACATCTATTAAACGAAAAACTGAACGAGACTACTTCTCTAACAAACTTGAAAACGCACATAACAATGTTAGACAAAAATGGAACGCTATCAAAGAAATTCTAAACAAGCAACCTCCAAACTCTTCAATCACCAAACTAACTATCAACAACCAAGCAATTGAAAATAAACAAGAAATTTGTGACCTTCTCAATACCCACTTTGCAAACATCGCTAGCCAACTACTCTCAAACCAACCTCCCAGCTATGGTAGTCCTACAGATTTTATGAGCCCATCCACACCCCATTCCATTTGTCTACATCCTGTTACTGAACAAGAAATATTAACTACTGTTAATATCTTGAAAAACAAAAAGAGCTATGCAGACGATGGACTCAACATGTTCCTTATCAAACGCATAATTTTCTCTATCATATCACCACTTAATCATATCTTCAACTTATCACTAAGCACTGAAATCTTTCCTGATTCATTTAAAATATCTAAAATCATACCGGTATTCAAGAAAAGAAACAAAGATGACATTAACAACTACAGACCCATCTCCATTCTTTCCCCGCTGTCAAAAATTCTTGAAAAACTTTTCTTTAAAAGACTCTCTAATTTCTTCTGCTCCAACAATACTATCTGCAACAACCAATACGGATTCAGACCCAACCACTCTACTGAGCTTGCTATTCTTGACTTCACTCAGCATATACTAAATGAAATGAATAACAAAAACTTTGAAAATGAAAAATGAAAAATATATATATATATATATATATATATATATATATATATATATGTATACATATATATATATGTATATAAATTTAAGTCAATAAAACCGACTGAGAAATATGTGACGGATAAATAACCGACCGATAAAGTAGTTGAACAACGCAGCAGCACATCACTAAATAAACTGTAACTGCAAATTAATTTCTCGTCTGTATTTCATTTCGTACGTATATTCCGCAAGAGTTGTCACTAATTGTTTAGTTTAGTTAGATAATTTTATTTAATTCTTCCCAATATTTTTCGTTTCAAATATTTTTCTTCAATAATTTTGTAAAATAAATCTAAATCAACAAAAACAAACTGTTAAAGAATTTTGTCATTCTCATCATTTTCTTTGGTTTGGTTGGGATTATCATTATATTATATTATTAATAATAGAATAGGAGTTGAAATAGTTGGTAACTTTAAAAATTAAATAAATTAAAAATTTAAATTTTGAAATTAAAAGTTGTAGCTTGTTTTATTTGGAATTTCATCATAGCAATTTTGTTGAATTAAAATCATCATTGGTTGTTATAGTTGTTATAAAAATATTGAAAGTGTTCATTTCATAACAATTCATAAAATTGGTGTGTCTTGGTCTTGCTCAAGCTGAACACATATATATGATGGTTGGTAATTTTATATAATGTCAAAAAACATTGTTAATTTATTAAATAAATAAATTTTATGTTATCATTATTTATTTATAAAATATATTAATTATATATATATATATATTTATTTTAATATGTATTTCAATTTTACAGTTGAATGAAATTGACACACAGTTGATTTGAGTTGATCAGTTGATTTGAAATGATTGAAATAAAATTTACTTCCAATAATGATGATATACTAAAAACTGCAATGGTGGCTTATTCATTTTTAGTTCAGGAATTTATTGAAAACAGTACAGTAGTTATTGAAAAACTTCAAGTTAAATGTTAAATGAATTACATTCACATGGTTATTGTTAGTTATGTGTACACTAATTATATGTATTGTTGTAATGGTAATCTATGCAGACAGCATCCTGCTCTCAGCTGTTCACCTATCATTTCATTTTAATTGATCATTATAATTCTCTTCAATATTTGTCAGAGCTATCAACAACAAACACACATTGTATGTGAATACATGTGAAACGTAGGTGCAACTTCATTCATATTACAAATGAATTCATTCATTGCAATAGCAATGCTGCACTCCTAATCATTGCGTCATCACATCATCTAAATGGTGGTAGTTGTTATGAAATGGTTTTAACATGCATCTGAAGTTAGGAAAGTTGTGCAATGTCAATAGATAAGTGTGAGTGTGTGTTAGTGACATTCTATTTTATTGTTTAAGTTGTTAATCAGATATAAATTATAAATGTGTGAAGCATCTAGTCTTCCTGGAATTGAGCACAAAAGAGAGGATTTACTAAGTGGTGAAAGACTGAAAAGTTGCTGACTGTTTAAAAAACTTTCCTGTCTGTGATACTAGAAGATTAGAGGTGATCTGTATGTTATGCATGTAGAGTGTGCAGTGTGTTTAGAATCTGAGATGAGTGCAATGCAGTCAGAAGCTGCATGAAGATGTAAGAACGGGGGGCCACAATTTTGAACTGGTTGTGTTGCTATCTGAGGAGAATGACTGAAAAGTATTTCTTTACCATTGTAGTGCCAGCTTTGAACAGCCTCCCATCCGATGTTGCTAATGATAACATGGATTAAAACTGATTTTTTATAAAAAAGAATGAATGTATTTTTTTCATTTGGTGATATTTATTTCATTTTTGAGAACTTTTGCTTTTTTTAATGCTAAGGACAAAGGCACAGTTTTTAGTCTGTGCCTCTTATATGTTATGTTATGTTATGTTATGTTATGTTATCATTATGTTTTGTAAGTATATGTTTATCTATGTATCCACATATGTATTTATGTATGTATGTATGTATTATTGTTGTTGTTAAGAGTGTATGTGTGTGTATGTATGTATGTATGTTTGTATGTATGCATGCATGTATGTGTACCTTGCATAATCGATTCCTCACTACCAGACGAACCAGGCATCACTTGAATCTTCTTTCTCATTCCTCACTCAACTGACGGCAGACGAACTCGAAAGTTTGGAGAATGATTGGGAGAGGATTAAGAAGTTGGTTGATGATTCTGACGTGGTTAGTTTTGTGTGCCGTTTGTGTAATAGTGATGATTTTGTGTGTTGTGGATATGATTAAATGGTGTGGTTGTGATGATGATGACGGTGATGATGTGTTAGTGAGGTGGTGTTTGTGTGTGTGTGTGTGGCTGTAATGATGTGTTTTGTTGTGGTGTTTTGGTAATGTCCATGTAGTGGGTCAATTTTATTGTGGAGTTATGCGATATGTGTTTTAATTTGTACTTTTTTGTCAACATTTGCAAAGTTATTATTATGATTGAACATATAGAAGCTCCGTTGAATGGATTCATTTTGGCGTATTACTGCATGCAATAAAATAAATATTTGGAATAATCAAATTTAATCAACCAATTTACACAACAGATAAAAAAGCAGCAAATGGAAAAAGAAAATTTATCAGCCTCGATAAAAAGCCTTGCTGAATACAACTTATCCTTGGAGCCGAAATTGAACCAGGCCAAAGTTCAGCTTGCCCAAACCCATGAACAGGCTGTAGAAACTTTTAAATCATATGACAAAAACAGATTGCTCATGGGTTAGATGTTTTTAAAAGTGTGGTTGGTTGGTTTGAAGGAACGTGATTGGCTGGCTCATTGATCTTATGATTGAATGGATTTTGTGCTTGTTGGTTTGCATTTGCTGAAAGATATTCAACTGTCTTGATTGGTATGAAAGTTAAATGTTATCTACCATCACTTGGGGTCAATGAATATTTTTAGTGTTTCTGTAAACTTCAACATTTTCAACATTACCAATAGTCAAATCCCAATAACGTTCATACAATGACAACAATAACAAATTATCAACAATAACAAAAACATTAACAAAAACAACGACAACATTTACAGAAGGAACACCATCGAAAACACAACCCGACGTTCAACTTGCTCTCTTGCAAGCTGAAACAGCAAAATCTGAAGAGGAGTGTGAGGTTGGTGGAGTTTGTGTGTGTGTCTGATTGTGTGATTTGCCAAGTTGATGTGTAACAACATCACAACCACACAACAACATCACAACCACACAACAATATCACAACCACACAACAATATCACAACCGCACTACAACATCACAACCACACAACAATATCACAACCACACAACAATATCACAACAACGTAACAATGTGAAAACAAAATCTCAACAACAGAAATTGGTGGACAACTTGATGAACAAGACAGTTGATGTGGATACATTCATCACTGACTACCTGACTACCAGAACGTTATCTCACATCCGCCGAATCAAATGCGACAAGATGACGGAACTATTACGTCAGCAACAACGCAGAAGAGAATCAGCCCCGCTACCAAAGACATCGAATGTACAGCATGAACAATATTCAGCCTATTCACCAACGCACCCGTTGAATTATTCCTCCAGACCGATGCAATCCAGCTATCCCAATCCTATGCCTTCGTCGAGCAACTACTACCCTGGTCCCACGTCTCTGATCGGATACAACAACCAAGTTCCCGGCTACATGCCTGCTGCTGGTCCGCCATACCCCATCAACAACTTCGCACAACCCCCTCCCATTGCATCTGCTATCTTCTCGCCTGGTGCTCCGTCGTATCCGCAGTCCAGTCTCTATTGAGAGCTCCATGATTGGTGGACGGATGGATTGATGAACGGTTGAACGAATTGATGGGCGAATGAGTGAATTGAAAGATGGATGGATTGTACTGTACATGATTCATCAATTGTTAAGAGTGTGCATGGTTGATTGAAGTGTGGTATTGGCTGATACCATATGGTGTTGATTGGCATGTGATGTTGATTAATATCATATGGTGTTGATTTGCATGTGGTTTTGATTGATATCATATGGTGTTGATTGAGATGTGATGTTGGTTGATAGATATCATATGATGCTGATTGAGACGTAGAGATGTGTTGGTGTTCTTGGCTGGTGTTCTTACGTGGTTGTTGCGTCGTCGTTGCTTCCAGCTGTCCGTCTGTCGTGAATGTTCATTTGGCCACCACCTTTTCGTAATTATCTTCGGGGCGGCGTTCATTGGGTTGTATCTTAATGAGTGAGAACGATGATGATCCGTTGCTATGAAATGGTTGTTGTGATGAGGGGTTTGTCGATTCAGAGCCGTGTGTGATTATCTCTCTGTTGGATTTCAACAGTTTTTTTTAGTTAGGCTGACTAATCATTCTTTCATGCATTTGTTTTCATGCATTCATTCATCTTTTTCACTCGTTTATTTTCATGATGTATTTTATTTATTTGTTATCATTTATCATTCGTCTTAACCGTTCGTTCAATTGTTCAAACAATTGCCATCCAATTATGAAATTATCCATTCATTTATTTTCATCAAAGAAAAACATTCGTCTCAACATGCGATTGCTCCATTCATTTATTCACCAAACCATTCATTCATTTATTCATTCATTCATCCATCTATGAAATTAATTCTCATCCAACATTCAATCTTAAACATATTCCACCATTAAAAAAATTACATTCACTGCAAAACACAGCTCACCAACACACAAACGCCACACACACACACACACGCACACACACCACAAATGACAATGAATATCTTAGTTATAAATGACATACTATTAATAAACGTTAATCTTGTTGGATGTTACGGAATTCTAGAGTTCCTATATCTATATAAACAAATATCCATAGGTATAGAATCTGTAGCTTTTATATCTATGGATACATATTAAGACGTGGTGAATTTATTTGTGCATATCCAGGCAACATGTAGCAGTTGTGCGACTCTTTTTTTCATATTTTTATTTCTACAATTAATAATAATTATTATTATTGTTATTGACTTTGTCAAAATCAATTTAGATGGAGATTGACTCTGTCAAAGTGAATTTAGATGAAAATTAGGTGTCAGGTTTCTTTATTGGCTGGTCATCTTCTTTGGTCTCCTTTTCTTCATCGATAGCATCATCGATAGACCAAAGAAGATGACCAGCCAATATGATGCTATCAATGAAGAAAAGGAGACCAAAGATGACCAGCCAATAAAAAGTCAATATTTCCCTATATAAACAGCAGAAAGCACTGATGATGATTCATTCGGAATCGAAATATGGCCTTATTTGCAGCATGAATTCGGAAAAAAAGTTTATTTTGAATTTTAATAAACTTAACTTTCACCAAAAAACTTCAGTGAGAAAAATTGAAAAAACGAACTACAAACATATTAACGCCAAACATTCGATAGAATTTATAGAATATTGTAAATATATATATATATATATATATTGGAAAAAAGGACCATATTTTATACAGTATTGTACAAATTCTACCAAATTTTTGGCATTAATCAATTTAAAGTTTGTCTTTTCAATTTTCATTACTAGAATTTTCAATTTTCCTTACTAGAATTTTCCGGAAATTAAAGAGACAAACTTTGAATTGATCAATGCCAACAATTCGGTAGAATTCATACAATACTGTGTGGGTGTATATATATATATATATATATATATATACATACATACAGGGTATGTATATATATATATATATATATATATATATATATATATATATATATATATATATACAGGGAGCCGACATTATGCAACATTTAACATGTGAGAGTCTATTAAAACATACAAAAATTCTTTGTATCTTCATTTTATTAACAGCCTCAACTAAAAACATCGAAGAGCATAATTAGATGAACAGAATATTTCAAATACAATTACATCGAAGGTAACTGACCTGCGAGTTACATTATTTACAGGCAAACGATCATTAAAATATTCAATCAAATCTATATAGAGCATTCCTAATTTTGAAAATTTCTTTATTACTTCCAATTGGATCTGAACTAATTTCACATTTCACGCTCGTCTGTCATTCAGTCCGGCAATTTCATAACAATATATATATACATATATATATATATATATGTACATACATATATATATATGTATATCCAGATACATACATATATATATATATATATATATATATATATATATATATATATAAACAGGAACATATAAATTTCAAAAATGCACGTTACGTTAATATACAAGAACCGTGTCTGGTTAAATATGTTAAGTAACTAAAATGTGGTAGGTTTGTTTGTTTGTTTAGGTAACTAATTAAAAATGTTAAACCGTAAGAAGCGAACTAATTCTACTGAATATTTGTTGTTATAATCGTGAAATCATTGTTTCATGTGGTTTGTTGTCCTGCTGGCATCATCACCATCACGTTTAATGACATCTTAAGAATCAATAAAAATTAAAATAATGGCATCACTACCACCAACTAACATCAACAAATGCAAAGAACGTTGAATAGAAATGAACGATAACAAACGTAGAGACATGGTTAATAATTACATGAAGCATAAACAACCGCCCACTGGCAGCCAGGAATGTTCTGGGAGGGGAGGGTAAAAACTGGCTACCATTTATTTGCTCATTTCACATTATACTTATATCTTTTATGGCTTCAAGCAGAAATCGTAATTTTTAAATAACCCTTTGGCACGTCATAACACCAGAAGGGAAGCTGAAATGCCGTTAACAGCCGATACATGAACATTTATATCTAATTTTCGTATTGGAGCCTGTATTTTTATTCAAATATGGCAAAACATTGCCATTGATAAGGGACTGCAACAATTTGAAATTAACATTTATGAATGTTATGCAGATTTCATAAAATTTACTTTCAATCCTAACAAAAATTTCTGTGGGAGTTTGCCAAAAAGTTCTCCTCTGTAAATATGCATACATACATCAGACTGAGTAAAAAATTTACTTGTAAAAGCGACAAATATTTTATCTTGAAAACATTTATCTTGTTTAAAAACAAAATGAATGAATGATGTATAAAAATAATTGTGATGGCGAAATCATTGGACATGGCAGCAAAATAGAATCTATTTAAAAATGCTATCAACACGCAACACCAACCACGCCGTGTAAATGCATAAAAAAATATTTCCAACAAGTTATCTATTATAAGTTGTACTGTACAATTATTTTACGAACACCCACACGTCAAAAATATTACTGTTTGGTAAACATCTTACATATAATGTGAGTCAACGCACTTAAATAAATTTCCTTCGGTTAGATGGTTAATAATTATCAATTAATTAACATTATTATTGTTATATAATTATATTTAAATATTATGTAATTATAGTTAATTAATTAAAAAATTAATTTCAAATCATCCCACTTTAAACTTAACATGATCACTTCAAGGTCACCGAGTTAGCTTAGTTGGTAGGAGTGTCATGTCTCGCGCTGTTATTACGCGATTGCCTGGTTCGAATATACCGTCTGTCTGAAAGCTGAGGACCATCACACGCATATGATGCGGTGCTTGCGCGTGCACACATGATGCGTATAACCGTAGAACAGGCAGGCAGTTCTACGTTTGACAGATCTGCACTGCAATGAATGAAGAAGCTTCACTTGACGATTGAAAGAGAAAATATTAACATTTAAACACGAGTTGTTTAGTTGCTGATATTGAGTCAAAGTAGTGCAATAATAGTATGTGATGCATCTCTGATCATTCGCATTCGTGAACCCGTTCGGTCTTGTTCACGCTATAATACAAAGTTTCATTGACCATGTCAGATCAACTCTGAATTAAAAACAGAACTGCAAAGTCCGAAATACATGAAATATTACGAAATATAATTTATAAAACATTCATAAAAAATGGTATCTGAGATATTGAACTGAACTAACAACTGAGTGAACTGTCTGTTCAAGTTGAATGTACATGAAAAAAATATTTAAAAAATTATTAAACAACTTTTGCTAAGCTGGAAACATTATTTTTACAATTTAGCAGAACGTAAAGATAAAAATACGCAAAAAGATCATTTGAATGAAATGTAATGATACAATTAAACGATGATCGATTGATTGGTTGTAATGACACAAAAAGCCGCTACGTTAGCGAAGTTAAAACATTTTAATAAAGACGTGATGAAGTTTATAATGCAAGAACAACAACGGAAAAAAGAGCATCTGAATGATGCAATAATGCTAGTGTGACGATAATATATACATACAAACATATACATACACACATACACTCACATGTAAATACATAGATTCAAATTCAAGATTATTTTATTAAGCAAAATAGATAAGTAATTACTCAAATACAAAAATGTTTGCTCGAACAGAAAACAAAGAAAAAACATAAATGCGTTAATGCGCCCTGATAAATATTTATAGTTATATATAGATTATATAGATTTCATAAATTACTTCGCGCGCACACACACACACACACACACACATATATATATATATATATATGTGTGTGTGTGTCAGCATGTTTCGCGTTAGTTAGTTTCCAGTGTAGTTTTTCGATTTCTCTAACGGTTGATCCGTAAATCATTCTGAAGTTTCTTGAGTTCAAAACCAAAATTTTCATTTATTTTAAACATGATGATAGAGCAAAATAGCTTTTAAACAGCTTGGAAATAGTGAATGTTGCCAAACATATCTAGAGAGCACTACCTGTGCTTTTGTAAACCGAACCAATACGTAATTTCTACAATGGAAAAATCAACTGACAATAAACTACCATTCCTAGACGTACTAATACAAATTGTGCAAAATGAATTTAAAACCTCAGTATACACCAAAGCAAAAAGCAAAGGTTTATGACTCAATGGAAATAGTGAATGTTGTCAAACATATCTAGAGAACACGTCTCTGCTTCTGTAAACCGAGTCTAGTTGTCTTGAGAGTGATTTACGATCAATCGTTAGAAAAATTCAAAAACTAAGCAGGAAGCTAACTAATGAAGGGTGATAATATTATAGATATTTTACTGTATACACAAATGAGTTATAATCTATGAAAAACACCAACGCGCAGTAAAGATATTATACGTATAAATGAGTTTTTGAATTATAAATGCTCTTATGCAATGTACCTTACCTATCAGAGATGCACCGAATAGTGAAGTTGGCCAAAGATCGGGCAGCCGAATAGTGGGTCAATTATTCGACCGAAACCGAAGGCAGAACACCAAAAACCCACAGTTTTGAAAAGAATTATTTTTTAATAAAACCTTAATAAAATCAGCAATTAACAATACGTCATCGAGATAATTTTATCTCTTGTTCAATTTAAGATGTTTTAACAGTAAGGATGGCCAAAATCAATTTTTCAGTAATAATAATCATCAATCTTCTCTGGAAGCAAGAGAAGATGATGATCTCAAAAAGGAAGCTGAAATATTTGGCTATAGGATTTTTAAAAATGACCGAAGCCGAATCCAAAATAAGGGCCAGGCCTAACAATCGGTGCGTCTTTGATGTCTATTGTCTCGTGTACATACATATAAAAACATAAAATATTTAAATAAAATAAAGATGAATGTTTTTGTCATAAAATATTTAAATAAAATAAAGATGAATGTTTTTGTAAATAGTAAATTAAGTATATTTATAATAAAAAAAATTAAATGATGGTGTTATGTAAAAATTACTTTTTTTTCTTAAAAACATCAACTTTATCGAGGATATCATTTCAATAACTAGGAGACCAATGAAAGTTCATACTTTTGAAAAACACAGAGTTCTTGAAATTACCTGCATATATGTAGAATGTTTGTATCAAGGTGAGTTCGCAATGAACATTATTTGAAAAGTGAAAACCTATTGTATTTAGAAAGACATGAACAATATGTAAGTGAATTGCAACTGTATGTATACTGGACATACGTATAAATGATGAAATCCATTTTATAAAAAAGTAAAATATAACAAATCGTAATTAAAAAACTAATTATATTAATATATTATTACATATTAATTATATTGATATTAATTTTAATCTGTAAACAGCACTAGAAGCCGAATTATAATATTATTATTATTCATGAAGGCACGAATCACATGAATATTATTACTGAGTGTGTGAAATTAACCTATATATATATATATATATATATATATACCCGACATAATATATATATATATAATATTATGAATATATGAATAAATCACATACACACGCACACACACACACACGAATTGTGTTAATGGAAACAACATGCCCGAATGGTGTGTAACGAGCACCGGGCGCGAGAAGAGAACGAATGGTTGGTTATGTCTGCACGGGTAACTTCTCGTGATATTATAGTATAACTTTATAGTATTATAATATTGTTTTTTATAAATTTATTTTTCCTACTTCAGCTAAATAGAGTTGATGCTTGACAAACAATGTATATGAAAATAAAAATCCCACTCAACAAATTTATGGTTTCAATTTATATCATTTTCATAATTAAATATAAGTTTGAAAAAAAAACCATCAAACCATTGGATTAAATAATAATATAAAAAATGAATAAATGAACAAACAAATGATTGATCGAATGAATGAATAAACAAATGAATGAATGAACGAATAAATAGAGGAATGAACGATTCAGACGGCCCTTCTAACACCAGCACCGACATCTCGACTCCCCTTAAAGAAGATTTCCTCCAAGTCTTCACTTGTCTCAACAGCTATGGTCCACCTCTCCTTGCACCTCCACTTGTTGTCGTTGGTGGTGGTAGTGGTGCCACTGCGAAGAGATATGTTGTCGAACTTGGTCAACTTTTCACTCGTCTTACTCAACGTCCTATAGGAATTATTCAAGAGTGATTTTGTTGAGGAAGATGATAGTAATGGTTGTTGACGCGTCTTGTTGTTGGTCTGTTGTTGTTGTTTCGGTGTTATCGTTGCCGTTTGATAAAGATAACTTGAATGTTGTGGTTGCTGTTGTTGAATGTTGGTGTTCAAGTAGTTGCTGCTCCTCTTTAGATGGAGTTTGGCTTGTTGCAGGAGTGTTGAATTCTTGGTGAGAAATGTTTTCAACTTAGGATTCAAGTGGGATGACGCTTCAAGAGTCAACAATTCGTTTCTCCCAACTTCCGCCTCATCCCTCACACTGCAACCACCACATGCTATCCCTAACTTTTCTATCGATTTTGAGTCAGGTTTATCCGAAGACGAAAAAACATTTCTACCATTGTCGATATTTGTTTTGTTGTTGCAGTTGTTGTAACTACTGTTGTAATTATTACTTGACGCCCTCAGCACTCCGCTGGAACCCGATGAGTCATCGTGAGCTATTTTTAGATTGGTGTTGGATATCCCAGTTGCGTAGAGAACATTCTCCTTGTCCTCCTCAGCTGATGAGGAAACTTTCGGCGACCTATTTAAACGGGATTTCCAAGAACCAGCACTGTTGTTGCTGCCGCTGTTATTTTTCACGCTGATTTTCGGAATTTCATTGCTCTTTGACCCCGCGGAAATTAGGTCGAGGTCATTTGAGGATTCGAGATAATTTTGTTTGCTGTCGTTGTTCGTTGATTTTGAGTTGTTGGGAGAATCTGTTTTAGAGAATTCTGTGTTGTCCAAATTGTTGTCAACATTTGTGATGTTGCTATTGGCAGTAGTTACGTTATTATTTTCGCCATCCATGCCAACAATCTTGTTGCCGCCTGCAAAGAGTTCATCGATGCTGTCGCACTGACTTGTTAACTTGTAGGAGTGGGCATCATCATCATCATCATCACTCTCCGTGTACGCTCTATTAATTTCAACTCTTATGTCAGCATTACAATTAACAACATCATCATCATCAGGATGTCCAGTCGATGATGAAGCGAGTAGCAGCCTACTGATGCAGACCTCATCGGAGCATGATTGGCCAACAGGATCATCATGGTCACGTGGCTTATCAAATCTATTCTTGTCATTGTTACTATAATTGTTGTTATCGTTATGACTATTTTTGTTACTGTTGTTAGTACCATCAGCGTTGCCATCGTTACCGTTGGCATTTGTTTCAGTTTCAGTTTGTTGAGAAATTCCAGTTTCGTTCTCGTCATCTAAAAATATCACGATCACCGTTATGTTGTCGGAACTGCCTTTCTCTCTGCAATGTGTCACGGAACAACAATTTTAAATATAATAATAATAACATAATTAAAAAAATAATAAAAACATAAATGAATAATAACAAATCAGTATATTAATAAATAAGTACCATGCAACAGTGTTTTGAATTTTCATTCGTCAAGTCTCGCAACGAAAGAGAATCACTTATCGCTATCGACATAAGATAACTTTCGAAAAATATCATAAAATTGTTTCTCGTGTCATTATTATGAAAACTCAAAATGATATCATAGCAAAAAAAAAATGTGTGGAACAGGGAGGAGCTAGAAAACTTGGAATATTCGATTAGTCTTTTGAAAAATTGATTGGAAATTTCAGATTTCATTCCTTACCTGGCTCTGGCAGTTTTTACAAAATTACTGAACAAAAATGTATAGAATACACTACATTGTTCATTTGTCCATTCAAATCATGATGGAATCACGAACCAACGTTTCATCAACTTAGCATGGTGAGTAACTATCACAAGTAGTGGCAATGGAGAAGTGACATTATATTTGATTTTGATAGCGATAAGCCTTCAACTGATTTTCTTTCAAAAGACGCAAACACACACACAGACACACACACACACACACAGACACAAACAAACAAACACTGACTTGGCAACTCTGACCAGTTTCTGTGCCACAGTCCTCCTATCTTCCTCCTCTACATGATTGGCCACGTGCGTTATGACGTCATCGTTCGACAACACGTCCCACAGACCTGTGAAAAGGATGCATTATTATCGCAAATAAATAAATAAATATATATGTATATATAATATATATATATATATATATATATATATATAATATATACATACAAAAAAATCAATTTAATCTAAATAAACTTTCATTCAGTAAATATTAATCAAAATAATTTTTGAACAAATAACTTATAAAGAAACGAATTCAAAAATGTTAATACCAAAATCTACAAACCAGCCATTGGTATTTGTATCTTTAAATAGCAGTTGAAGGCTCATCTTTATCAGAACAAAATTATCAAAGCAAATAGCAAAATCTTTGAAAATCAGTGACAGGCCCTAACCCACCAAACCGAACGTTGAAGCATTAACAACGTCATTCGAAATGATCGATGATGACAACTATTTATATTTTTGTTGAATTTTGAAGAATTATTACTAATCTTTGTAAATTGATTGATTCGCCCGAGCATGCAACTGGCCACTCAGATACTGCAGCATTCAGTCACGAATACAGAGTTTGAAAAATGATACGAGTTTTACGAGATACAAATGATAAGAATGATACAACTTTTGCTAGCATTGTCAGTGAGAAGGTTCAAAAAACGTTGAAATTATCAACAACAAAGTTAAAACAGTCCAAAGGAAATAGTTTGAGATGAATGAATCGAAAGAGAAAAAAATCAAATTCAATAATGATGGAAAGTGGCAATGACCGTTCTGATGAAAACAAAATACTCAAAAATTTGTGCGAACGTGTTGCTGAAACGAATGTTCTTAGAATGCCAGCCAAGGATTGGAAAAAAGTGGAAGTACATTTAGACTGTTGTTGATGAAGTTGGAAAACGCTAAAATCCAACCAGTCAACCAGTTAGCAAGCAAACTAAGTAACCAACCAACCAACCAACCAACTCACCATCACAAGCCATAACGATGTACTGATCACTCCCAGGAAGGCGGGCGTACGAGGCGACATCGGGCTGACTGCTGATGAATGGTTTGTAGCTGCAGTCACCTAATTGATGGTTTGTGGTTGGTCAGGTTGGTCGATTGACCAGTTGAATGCTGGCCGGATTATGTTACAAATTCAATGTATACTTGTAAAAGATTGTATGCGTATGAAGTGCTAAATAAATAGTCAAACATGGCGAAATTTTACCACAATTTATTGCCATCACGGTCGTCATCATCATCATAATAATATAAAATATAAAAATATCATAACTACCATCTTAACTATCATCATTCACATCCCCATCACAACAACAACAACAACAACAACAACAACAATAATAATAATAATAAATAATAATAAAGACCCAACAACAACAATAATAATAATAATAAATAAATAATAATAAAGACCCACCAACAGCCCTGGAAACTGATAGGGCACCATTAACTCTCCACGTTCCAAAGTGAACTACAGAGCCGCCGAGAGATGTGATGCGTGCCTTCTCATCCTGTGTGTGTGTGTGCGTGTGTGTGTGTGAATGTGTGATGTCTGTGTGTGAAGTGCATGTATGAGAGGTGTGTGTGTGTGTGATGAGTTCTGTCTCTCTCTGTGTATGTGTGCTTGTGTCAGTAGAGTGAATTTGAAAAGTCTGTGCGAAATATTTGTGTATGAGTGCGTGTGCGAATTCTGTGTGTATGAGATGTGTGTGTGAGAGTGAATTGTGTATATGTGAGGTGTGCATACATAAGGTCAGGTTTGTGTATGTGTAAGATGTATGAACGTACATGTGTGTGTATAGGTTGTACGCATCTCTGTTATAAGATGTGTATACATACAAAGTGTGCACGTAGTTCTATTTTTATTATCATTATTATTACTCCATTTTACATCTCTTCGTCTCATTATGATAATTTATCGTACATATTAAAACGTTATAATAAATGTTATCATTCATTTTCTGGGTCATGACAATAATGAGTGAGTTTGTATTATTATTGTTATTATTAGGTTGATAATATAACTGTTACAAAAGCAAGCAGAATGCACCTCTCTCTCCGGCTTATGGGCCCTCATGATCTCCACGGGTTTGCCCCCCCTGACCAGGAGGGCTTGGGAATCCCCGAGCCATGCTATAAATAACCTGTCGTCATCGTCGTCCAATAGGATGATGACTCCTGTGCAACCGCTCGAGTTGTTCTAGAAGGGACGATGATGATGATGATGATGGTGGCGATGATGATGATGGTGATGATGCTGATGATGATGCTGATGATGATGAGAAGGATTCGGATGACTAGAGTGAAGAAAAGATGATAACGGTGATGATGATGAAGATAATAATGATGATGATAGTGATGATATGATGATGGAGGCATTGGCAAACATTCATGGAAAGGTTAATATTGGAAGATGTCGAAGCAGTCAAAAAGCATTCATAGAAATGCTGAGAGCAGAGATGAAGTCATCAGGACAACCGAGGGACAATAAAAAAAAAGAATATAATTTTATAAACAATAACACCAACAAAAATACCAATGATGATGGTGACGATGATGATGATGACGAAGACGATGATGATAACAATGATGATGATGAAGAAGAAGATGATGATAACAATGATGATGATGAAGAAGAAGATGATGATAACAATGATGATGATGAAGAAGAAGATGATGACGATGACGAAGACAATGATGATAACGATGATGATGATGAAGATGATGTTAGTAAAAATTATGAATAAACTAATCAATATGCCATGATGCGAATATTTAAACAGATGAATCATCATCATAATCAGCACCACTAACATAATAATAATAACAACACTAACATCGTCATCGTTATCATCACTCTCGTCATCATGAATGACCTCATCCTCAACATATTGAAAGTTGACATCATATTGATATGAAAAAAATCAAGATGACAGTGATGATCGCCATCGTCATCATCATCATCACCATCGTCATCATCATCATCACCATCGTCATCATCATCATCACCATCGTCATCATCATCATCACCATCGTCATCATCATCATCACCATCGTCATCATCATCATCATCAGTAATATTATGATAATAATAATAATTACAATAACAGCAAAAAATAATAATGACAAAACAACAACAACAATAATAACAACAATAATAATAACAAAAAAATAATAAAAATAGTGATAATAACAATAATAATAAGAGGAACCCTCACATCAATCTTCACTCTCTCACTGAAGAGTCGGTCGGTTTCGAGAAAGGCCCTTTCCAAGCACCTCTCAATCTGCCTCACCTTCACCTTCCTATCACGTGACTGAGTTGTGACGTCACGTGGCTCCAGTGTGGAATGTTGTTGTTGCTGATGTTGTTGTTGTTGATGTTGTTGTAGAATGGCAGCAGTATGAGTTGTGGTGGGAGTTGTTGATGTAGTGGTGAGAAGATGTTGTTGTTGTTGCAGTTGTTCCAGCTGCGTTGGTGTCGCTGCTGTCAGCTTCTTCTTAGAAGAATGGCGTCTCTGACAAGATGGCGAATCCGTCGCTAGTGCAGCTGTCGCTGAAGTCAGTGCAGCTGGTGATGTCGTTGTAGTTGCTACTTGTGGATTTGTTGACGACGATGGGAGTGTTGATGATGATGATAGGAGTGTTGATGATGATGGAAGTGTTAATGATGTTGACGGGAGTGTTGATGATGATAGGGGTGTTGACGTTGTTGTTGGTGGCGATGATGATAACGAAAGTAATGTTGCTGCCGACGACGACGACGATGAACGCTGCTGTCGGTGCGATAAGGACTGCAAAAATGAAATAAGCATGCATACAAACGTTACAAGGATAAAGATCAGGCTATTTATTTATTCACTTATTAATTTAAAGGTTCATTACAATTTTTAAAATTTATCAACAACACACAAACAGCGCAAAGAAGAACATGACACACACACACACACACACACACACACACACACACACACACACACACACACACACACACAAACAATGCACGTGGTAAGTGGGGATTCCTTTTTTTCATTCGATCCCGGTTAAATGCGAATCAGGAAGAAACCGGCGATGCAAATGGATACCCACCCACACTCTCACCCGGGTTTTGCCTTCGGAGCAGTGTCTGCAGCCTCCCTGCTCCAGATGATTCTCCTCATTGCATCTCCTGCAAACTATCCGTTCGCTATGCTTCAATTTGTTGCTCATCATGTCACAAATGGATACATACAAAACCCTCCTGCGTTAGACCAGACAGAAAACTTCGCGCGGGAGGACTAGCCTTCCTTGTCCATAATACCAATAACACCACACCATTCAAACTCACAAATCATCAAATCACAAAGACAACCATGCAGAGATACAATCAATCTCAATTTCTACTAAGAAACAAGCAAGGCCCATTCACCATCTTTAACATCTACATTCCTCCTAATAGTGTTTGCACCTTCGGCTTAATTCCGTCAATCACTCACCCTCTTCAACTTCAATCTTTTCCTCCTTACAACCACGCCAAACCAATGAAGAAAATATATATAGGACAATAAAATCACAAGCTTCACAGCTCACGACATCAAATCCGCCATCAAACAATCCAAAAACTCAAAAGCTATAGGCCCTAACAACACCTCTAACATGCACCTCAAACACATTGGTCACTTTGCTTATAAAGTAGTGCTGAAACTGATCAACGACTGGAGGACAATGTCCACAGGAATGGCACCTGGCAACCATTGTACCCCTATTGAAAAAAGGTGAAAAGCCAGAAGCTAGCTATAACCAATTAGTCCGACGTCACATCTCGGTAAAGTATTGGAGAGAATGATAAAAAATAGATTGGTATGGCGTGGAACATAAAGGGATACTCAGTCAATTCCAAACCGGCTTCCGCAATGGAAGAAATACAAGCACTACTAAAAGTGGAAGAAATATTCAGTAAAATAGACCGTACTCTTAGCTGCCTGGGGCTGAAAAGCGTTGGTATTAATGATGAGACGGTATGCAGACTATGTGGTATGGAGATGGAAGAACTGGAACACATATGGACAAGATATCAAAAACAGTGATTTGAGAGATAAATATGGCACGAAAGGAAAACTGGAAGAGCTGATCACTGTACCCACAAATGTTGTAAAAATGTTAAGCGATATATTTTACAGGTTGGAGAGCAACAACGGAGGTACATGAACCAATACGACAACAACAAAATCAAAAGCAACACATGTTCAAAGATTAAATGACTGCTTTCATAAAGAATCTTTGATGTGTTGAAATGAACGACAAATTCAAACCATAAGAAAAGATGTGGAAGAACCGAATGGAACAAATTATCATTATCGTCATCATCATCATTATTGTAATTTTTTGTTTTCATCATAATTTTCATCATCAACATTCTTATTATCATTGTCTTCATCTTTATTATCATCACCTGACTACCATCATCCTCACAAATGATGATGACGATGATGATGAAAGCAAAGAAATACAGTAATGATGATTGTGACGAAGTTAAACGGAGAGAATAATAATATTAATATTACTAATACTACTACTACTAATAATAATAATACTACTACTAATAATATAATACTAAAACTACTGCTACTGCTACTACATACTACTACTACTAACAATAATAATAAAATAATAATAGTAGCAATAATTATGCTGGCTGTACGAACCATAATGTAGTGCATTAAATTGTAGTCAGTGCATTGTGATGGGTGTGGTGTGACAATCATTTAACAGCAACAACATATATTATGTATTCAATTGGGACCGCTATCATCAACGTCACATTAGGAGGATCGTGAAGGCAAAAACAAAATGAAAATAATGTGCACAATCCCTCAAACAAATAAAAACACTTGTCGATTATCACAAGTGAATATGAACAAACTTGAACAAGTTAAAGTTATCTTTCACCAACTAACAAGCTGTCATGAATCAGACGAACAAATCAACAGGATGTGACACAACGAGTTTCAAACATACAAAAATAAAAATGAAAAACGAACAATTCACGATTACCTTGCCTTCTTCGATGTCTTTGATGCATCTGGCAAGATGGCCGACAAGATGGGTTGAGCAGTAGTTGGCCGCCTCGACCCCTCCATGTCCATCAAACACGGCGTAGAATCTGTAGTTGCCCTGTTTTTAGGAAAAGTTAAAGATTAATCAGGAAATAAGAAATTTATTTGTCTTATTATGGAACCATTGGTGTTGACTGACAACGTTTAGGAATGCGACAGTAACCAAAATAATTCGGATTCGTCGAATCTAACACCGGAGATCCGATTTTGTCGAAATTTGAACTAGGCAATAAATTTGAAAAGTCGATTCTGCTGCACTTTGACCTGACGTGTGATTTGATTAAAATTTCTGGTATACTCTCATAAAGGTATACTTTAGACGGCAGTATACTGACTGAGTTTCAAAATTTGATGGTGCTTACGTGGATTATCTGGGCGTTATATGATACTGAGTGTGTCACCAGTCTGCGGGATGAGGTCTCGGCTGGTAGATATACCCATTTCATTTTGAAACCACGCAATAATTTGAAACCACGCAACAGCTGGATCCAAATCGCAGATCTAAAATTCCTAAATCTGTGGCACTTCCATCGATGATGATAATGATAGATGTGATATGATAACAATGATGATGGTGGGACGATGATGAAAGTTTAACTATGATGATTGCAATATAAATTGTTAACGTGAGCGAAAATAATCAACAGCAAGAAATATTTAAGTATATTTTTGTTAAATTCCATGTATTATGAGATTGAGCATGAGATTGCGGATCCATGACCCACGTTACCGTGAAAGAAAACAAAATTTAAGAATCTACGTTAGAACATCTTTACGTCATAATTTAGGATTTTCTGAGCTTAACAGAGTTGATCAAAAAATACTAGTAGAAAATATCAGACTTACGTATTATTAAAATGATCGAATCATCAAATATTTAAACAATAAAAAATAGACAAAAAAGTCAACTTTAACTAAAAAAATTACACCAAAAATTTTGGATCCGCCACTGAGCATCAAAGAAACTGTCAGTTGCCACAAACGTTTAGCCATAACTCTGACCAAAGTAAAAAAAAACCAGAACTGGTACACGTACAGGTCGGTCTTATTGCGCGTGAAGGCCGCCCGAATGATAAACACGTCAGTGTAACTGCACAAATCGGCAAAAATCGCAGCGTGATGGTCCATAAAACTAAGGTGGCAACGGAAAATTAGAAAAATTCTGTAAAATGAACATTCTATTTTTTTTAAAAAAAAGCTCATTAGAGATTTAAATTTTTATTTTATCACCGTAGTGTAACAAGCACTTAATAAAATCTTTATTAAAAGTTTGTATTAAAAAAATTTAGGCTGGGTGGCAAGGAAAATTACTAAATTTTGTAAAACGAGCATTCCAATTAGCAGGCTCATTGGAGGTCTAAATTTTTTATTATAGCAGTATATTATTTGCTTTTCAAATAACAAAATATACAACTTTTTATTTAATTTGAATAAGATCTGCTTTTAATTGCTTGTCTTTAGGCCTCCCTATCATTTCTTACAACTATGATTTGTCAAAAATAAACTTATTCTAAATAATTTCAAATATAATAAAATAATGAAGCTGGAAATATATCTTCCAACATAAACAGTTCACAAGGAGAGTTTCAAATTTTACTAAAATGACAAAAATAAAGTAAATATTTAAAATTATTCAGCAAAATAATAGATTAAATACTAGATCACAGAAGTTGTGATTGTATATTTTATTTATGACGAATTCATGCAAAATTTATTGACAATATTTGTCACAATAATTCAAACTTAAATAAAAGTTTTTAATATTAAAAAAAAACATTGATGTGATTTGATTTACAAGCATTCACGGAATTGCGAGACTGCAAGATTTAAATGGATGACGAAACTACATCATGTAAGCATCATGAAGTCGTTGATGAAATTCCAAAAAGGAGAAAAGGGAGAAAAATTAATTTTAAAACTGAAACCAATGTCCATTCTCGATATTAATGATCGAAGCAAAACCGATAAAACTAACAGTGATGTAGATTTAAGGGCCCTATGAACGAACCAGTTTATAATCGGGCTTGCCTGGACGAACTTTGGCCTACATACGTCAAACTCGTTCAGTCTTTTTTCAGGCGTGTATTTCGTTAGGTGTTAAATGGAGGATATCATGTAAGATCAAATTGAACGAAATGACAGATCCTCAATATACATTGAAATGTTGGAGAAACCAATATTCACAGCCAACTAAAGCAATTTCTCAAAAGACTACAAAGTCAACATACAAAATTAAGAATGCAGGCTATTAAACCTATTTAGAATTTTTTAGAAAAGTAATTTTCATAATTGGATAGCAAAAAAAATTCAACGCTCATTTTGAAAGATTGGTCAAGTTATTAAATACTGCTTTTGTTTAAAATGCAGAATACAAATTTGTTGCTCAATTAAAAAGGCTGAAGAGATTTATTATAAAATTCAGATATGAAGTAGAAGATAATTTTTTTTTTATGATAAGCTAAACAGCAACCAACAATATGCCAATAATGTTTGAAATAAAAGATTTTTTATTATTAAACTAATTTTTCACAATTAACTTTCAGAGATAAAAACCAATTTGAAGTGTGGGCTATTTCAAATTTATGTGTTTAACTTTTATTATTTAAATTTTAAATGATAATGAAGCAGAATTAACTTAGATTTTCTTCGCAATTATCCACATAAGTGTTAAGGTTTTTAAAATTTCATCAAATTAGTCCAATTATTTTAAAGAATTATCAAAATCATCTGCATCTTGACAAAATTTATTTAAACGTAATAATAATAATAAACAACCTTGACATTGAAGAGTTGACTGAAGAATGGCATGACAACATGTTTGTCCTCCATCTTGCGCCTAGTGTTCTTTATTGCATGAACGGAAACTGTTCAATTTGATTGGTCGATTATTCTAATGTATTAATTGCCTTGTCGATGAATGGATGTTGGTGTTTGGTTGCTTAACATTGATTGGCTGATTGGTTGGTTATGATTGTTTCATAGGTTGTTAATGGTTTGTTTGTTTGTCACTGATTGGTTGGTTATTATTAGTGATTGGTTGGTTGTCAGAAAGTGGTAGCAAATGGTTGGTTTTTAAGCTGGTTAATTTGTTGAATTAATAAGCCAGTAAGACTGACAATGATTTGTTCATGATTGCTTAATTAAATCAGCAAAACTTCTGTGTTAACAGATGAAAAATTCATCAAAATAAATGATCCCCTAGAACAAATAATTAGAAGAAAAATTAGAGGATCAATACAAAACCTACCATCCCCATCAACATATCCACAATCCTCCTCCTCATCCTCGTCAACCTTCCCAGCAGCATTCCTGGCGAGGAGCTCCTCGAAATACTTCCTGCCCACGTCCTTCATCGTGCTAACAACGAGGTCCTCAAACAATTCAGTCGAATATTCTGGTCATTAATGTTTCAATTGTTGTTGTAGGTGATTGGTCGTTGGCAAGACATAAATCAACATGATAAATTTAATTTTGATAATTTACATAGTTTCTTCACTGATATATAATGATAAATTTATTGACAGTGATATGAAATGATAAGTTAATGAGCATCGTTTGTTTTAAAGGTCTTACTATGCATGTGAACAAAATTTTTAAAAATTAATTTTTAAGAAAATTTTTAATTTATTAGTGCAAGCTATTAAACTTCCTCCACGAATAATTTTGTAAAAATAAAATATCAAAAATAGTAAAATTACTAAAAAAAATTGATAAAAACAAAATAATATTTAAAAATGGTTGTTAGTAATTGGTTGGTTGTCAATAAGAATGTAACAATGGGATGAAATGTGAACGAACTTTCCTTGCCATCAGGAGTCTTCAGGATGATGCCGCTGCTAATGTTGCTCATGTCCTCCATGACCTTCTGCCTGACCAGCCTGGTCAGCACGATGGCCACATGCTCCGGATAGTTCCTGTTGTTGTAATAGCAATTATCAACAATCATCAACTTATCTAGATAATTATTTTATTTTCCATGCTTAATATACTTAAACATTGTTACTCCATTATTTATTTATCATTTTATCAGTTTCTGTGCCTGCCAAAATCTAATTTTTTAAAGAATAATGATAATAAAAAAACATACTGACAGCATAAACTAAATAAATCACAAGTGGATGATCTATAAATGAAAATAACTAATTAACTGAATATACATATCAATTAACTCTAGGTTTGTTTAACAAATATAATATTCAGTATTCATAATGACCATTATTACTGTTATCTGTATCATAACCATTACTCTATCATCATCAACCATTACTCTAACCCCATCTTCAACACATCAGCAATGAATAAAATATTTTGTCGCAACATTCCATCTATTCCCAAATTTGATACAAACACCTCTCTTTGCAATCATTCATTTGCTCATCTTAAGCTTTTTTTATATTAAATTTTTCAGACTTTCTTTTCCTTACACATCATAAATAGATAAATAAATGAATGAAAAAACTAATTAATTAACTAATTAATTACTTAAATAAATAAATGAATGAATAAATAAAAAAAATTATTACCAATAAATAAATAAAAATAAATGAATGAATGAATGAATGAATCTCAATTACTTTTTAAATTTAAGAAATGGAAACTTTCTTTGCTTATTTAACTTTCAGATACATTTGATGCAAACATTTAATTTAATTTAATTTAAACATACAGCTTAATAAGCATTTTCAAGGTAAAGATTAAATTTTTTAAATTTAAATTTTAAAACATTTACATTTATAAAATTATTAAACTTTTAAAGGCTAAAGCCATTTATGATTTATTTAGCTCTGTAATAGAAATAGAAAACTTGTCTAGCTAAAACTAAAATTTAAAAAGTTCTATCGAGTTTAAAATGCTTCAACACTCAAGCAGCAAGACAAAATTAATTTAACTATTAATTATTTATATTTTTTATAAATAAGTAGACATTATTCAATTAAAATATTAAATTAAAAATAATTAAATTAAATATTATAAAAAAAGGTTACTAAGCATTTGCATCAAATTACATCACAAATTAAAGATTAAGAACGATGATGATTTATTTTTAATATTAAGATAAAATTAACATACAAACATAAAAAACTAATTACTAAACAGATGACTGATAAGAACTGTTTTTAGAGAAAAAAAATGGATAAATGATAAAAAAGACTGCTGAAAATCAGAAAATGAAAGATGATGAGAAGAGGAAGGAAGGAAGGAAGGAAGAAAGGAAAGAAGGGTCACTTGCTTGTTGAGGAGGAAGTGGAAGACCCAGTCGATGCACTGCCACTCAATCTCTTCCTTGTCCAAGTAGACGCAGGCATGTTCGAACAAGTGGTTGTTGTTTGACATCAAAGTGCTCCTCAGAGGTGTGTCACTGCTGTTCGTCCTCTCAGACCTGCCACTGAAGTTGATCAGAGTGCTTCTTATCAGTTCAATCAACTCATCCGACATCTTGATCAGCTGGCAATGAAATTTTTTCTTCTATTTTTAAACGCGGTCCGATTTTTTTCTTCCTAGTGTTTACTAACAAGTAGAATTTTTATTTGTTATATGAAATTTAGCAAGTAAGACCATTTCGTTCATTTCATAACACACACATCGACGAGAAAGGAAATGGATATCAATTGTCTTCCTAACTTCATAATAGTCCTTTTTTTATTTTTTATTATTATTTTTTAAAAATCAGGATCTGACAGATGCAGAAACTGTTACAGCATGCAAGTCTTTCATTCAACCAGTTGAATTTAGGTATAAAGAACATATCCTAATGATTATAACAATTAATTACATGGTACTCCACCAGGGAAATTCTCAACTCTCCAATGATACGTCCTACGAAAGAAACGAATCGAAATTTTATTTGCTCCATAAAATTAAAAAAATTTTAATGATAAGAAGCGGGCTGACTACTGGAAGCTAGAGAGGCAATGAAAATTCAAATTAACGCACGGAAACTCCAGTGGGTGATCGTTTGCATCTTAAGTAAAAATACAGTGTTATCGTCATGGTTGCTTCCGGGTCAACGCTCAGATCAAACGCCTCGTTTTACTTCCTATGTATGATTCAATGTTACAAATCACCTAGTATTGATATCAAGGGTGAAAAAACTTATTCAGTGGTTTCATACCATTTGTTCTTAACCTTACTTTATTATTAAATAGTCATACGTTGGTAAAAGACATGATGAAAGTTTAACAAGCATCTTAATTTTCTTCAAGCATGTTACTTAAGGAAATATTTCTAACAGTTTTAGAATAATTTAAATCTATAATTATAATAATTTCAGTTTTTTTGACAGTTATTACTCCTGCGTTGGTTCATTTAAACTTTTTCATTTTAGTTACTGTAATGATAATAATATATTATTGTATTTATTATTATTTTACGCTATTATTAGAAAAATAAATATTATTACTATCATAATATGTATACTTATCGATGCCATGCATAATTACATCTTTAACACTATCGTATAGATAGCGTACAGATCAGCGGCAGTTGCAGTAACTCTTTCAAGTATTTAATTTTTGGCGGATGTATTTCGAAAAAACGCCATAGGACAAAAAGGAGTTTAAAAAATCAGATATAAAATAAAAGGAAAACAAACATTGCATATTACAAACAGAATTTTAAAAAAATATTACAGCATAACTATTATTAGTAGTATTGTTTTGTTGTTATTATTATTGTATCAATGATAACCATCCTAATGATAATAACACTCATTTATGATGAGATACAAACAAACAAACAAACAAACAAGCAAACACACAAAATGCAACCGCGCACGTGATATTTGTGTAAGTGTACACGAGGCCACACAAACACACGTGTACGTGTCTTTGCGTCGTATATGTCCGCTTGTTAAAATCCATCTCATACAGTTAAAATCCATTTATAACAATGTGAAACCGTGTAGAATAATAGCGTTTGTAAATTCACACTCAAAAACACGCATATACACACGCGCGCACGCACACACAAATATTTTACACGTCTGCAAATACCACGCGCTGCCAGACACACGCAATGCCGTAAATTAAACTGCGTTCTCAAAAATTTAAATGAAAGAAAATGCAGGTCAAATTATAAAATAAGCATAAAAATAAAAATGACAATATAATATAATAATAATTTTTATCAATTAATTGCAAACGATAGCATATCCATCAATTAGAAGGAGGCTTCAAATAATAAATGAAGTACGGGTAATATTACTATTATTATTATTATTGTCATCTGACAAGTAGCACATGAATGGGGGCATATGAATGAATGACGGTTTCAGCAATTCAGATATAACGTTCCGGATTGTTAGACAACCACTATTCCCCTATCCTCTGTTGGTCACGAGATTCACTTTGTTTTCAAATCTTATACCCCTTTCAAAACTCAACTTACCCGTCTAGTGTTTACAATTTAAATTTTTGCGCTCTGTACTCATTCATCTACTCAGATCAGCACTTCGCACATTTGAACTTACAAAAGGATTACAATTAGCAGTTCTACAATTACAGTTATAACGCAAATTGTGAACGAGATTTACAGACTGCATACAAAAGATGTAACAAGATAAACCCCACGTGTGTGAATGCATTACTGCCATTTATATTAAGATACATTCGCGCAGTCCGCAAACATAGAAAACACCGCAATTACACATCAACCCACAACACGTACAAAAACAAATACGTACAAACAAACATACACATACCCAAAATCACAGATACAATGTATTTACGAAAGTAAAAATTCTAATATTATTCTCTACGATTAGCTAATTTCTCCAATGTGGAACGGAAAATCAAAAACTGGATGTAATTAAATTTAATGAGAAAATCTTAATGATTTGTTTCAATATATCGACAATGCTAACACCCATCAGACTTTAGAAAATTGCAAAAAAATTTACTGTTTTTGTCAGGTTCAATGGCTAAACTAATCCTTCAATGAAGTAGGATAAATATGAAAATAGAATAAATTCCACGATTCATAAAAAACCATCCACTTGATGAAATCCATCAATTGATCTATAATGATTTGATTTTAATCTCAGACCGCATTATTAACCAACGCTTCTCTCTGTTTAATTTATAGTCCAGTCGCACGCCCACGCGAAGCGTAAGAACATCTTGGAAACAATATTTCAACCACCAAGTCGAGATACATTCGCAACCAAACAATAACACACACACACAAAATAACTTCTTTAGCGTAACAATTAATAAATTAAATATCGCAGTTTTATGAAAGGTTTTTTATTTAGCCAATCAGAGATCTTTTGGTGCCTATTGAACCAAAACTTTAACTCAAATTTCTGAAGCCTACATTATGAACGGAAGCATACGAAACAAATCAATAGAAAACCGACAGCCTAAACATAAAAATGTAGCAGAAATATCATTTCAGTCACCTTCATCCACCGACATCATCATCATAACAATCGTCATCATTATCATTCAACGGCAGTTTAAGTCCAACCAAAAAACGCCAGCAAAGACCAAACGAGCACAATTTCTCAATCTTCCAACCCTCCAATCTACCCGACCTGATCTCACCTGGTCTCACAACCAGCTTATCGAAATTTCCACTGCCACCAGCAAGCAACCAGGCAGGCCAGAGTCATCTTGCTAGCAGATACGTGGCAGAAACATTCCATTAGGGATTTCCCAGCATAATAACCCGTCAATAATTTGAATGGCTAAAGGGTTAACTGCCAGTCAAAAGCCGATGATGTTGACAAGAACAACAACCATAAAACATAACAATGATGGTAATGAGATAAAATAATTATAACAACAAATAACAAAATAAATTTTATGAATAAAAATTAATTATGCAATTTAGATATAGTCAAAAAAGGGCAAATCTGAAATGACAAAATGATACATTCTGCGGCGACGGTGTTGGCGCTAATCAATTCAAACAGCAAACGCGAAGATTGAAAAAGCCTCAAAAAAAACAAAACCCTCAATAAGCCATCAAAATATGGATCACACATTTACAGGTGCATTATAAGTGAGGTGTATGCAGGCAGAGATGGTTAACGTACAGTTCGTTGTGTGTGATGTACGCACGTATACATACGCATGGACGTGTGTTTGTATGTGTGCGACTGACTGATTGTATGTGTGTACGCTTTTGCAATAAATTATTTATTCTAGTATGTCATTCTAGTAAATATATGTATATATGAATATATACCATATTAAAACACACGTATAAACTTCGTGCATACATATCATAACACATACATGTATGTGTACATAAAAAACAAGGTCATACACATACATATATAAAAATACAAACACACACACACATACATGTATGCATACACACAAACAACGGTACAAACACATACTAATCAAGGCACTTCTTTGGAGATAGTGCCACGAGTTAAAAGTAATTATTATATTTCAAAATCATTACTGCAAAGAAATTATAAACATAAATATTACTAATATTATAGCATCATCTACATTAATGAGTATTATCATCGAGAGTATTATCATGCAAACATCTTGGTATTTGTCTAGTGCTGAATGAATTAATGAAACTATTGACCTTTTTTTTATTAAAATGCTAATTAAAGTTACTATTGTGTAACATTACGATCGATGTAACAGTGAAATTAGTTTTATAAGTTGCTATAATTATCGTTATATTGAGGTCAAATCTATATCATTAATAAAATTATTAATTTGTAAAAATGTGTTCATAACAAATATGATTATGAATTCATTATATATATATAATGGATTAAGACTGTCAAAAATGCAATTATGTTCCGCGTTAGTTATAGTTTCTGTTTTTCGATTTTTCTAATGGTAGATCGTAAATCATTGTCAAGTTTCTAGGGTTCAAAACTAAAATTTTTATTTATTTTGAGCATGATAGAACATTTAAGCATGATAGAACAAAAAAGCTTTTTTCGGTACTCCTAAACCATCTTCGGTGTTCAAATTGATACGTTGTGTATGTAGCCAGATGCTCAAGTATATATATATACTGTGTCCCTACTCTGCTTTGTTGATTCCTTGTTTGTTCAAGTGAATACTTAACGCTCATTTAATTATGACAATGATAAGACGACGACCAAGCTATCGAGAAGATTTACAATGCACGTACTGGTACAATAACAACCATTATAATTTACGACCAGCCGAATCAATACTCATAGAACAAAGACATCCGATAATAAATATTCAACTACGGGCAATGGGAATACTTCCCACTAATAAATTTAGAAACACAGGAATCATAGATAAGCGTCATAATGGACAAAGTTGAAGATTGTAAAACTACTTAAATGAGCGTTAAGTATTCACTTTGAACACACAAGGAATGTGAGGAACATGAGGAACATGCTGTGATTTTCATCAATAATTCCATACATATTATATATATATATATATATATATATATATATATATATATATATATATATATAT